AAAAAAAAAAAAAAAAAAAAAAGTGCATATGTGCCACATCACTAATTTGCACAGGGCGTAGCTAGGCCCTGTATACACACTCACCCCTTACACCATAGCTACGACGAGGAGGAGGAGGGGGAGTAAGAGGAGAACTAGTGGAGGATGAGATAGGAGGCAGAGTTCATGATGAGGAGTAGGAGTACAACCGTTGTTGTTGTTTTTTCCCGGACAATATAGGGGATCAGGACTGGAATCCGGACAGGGGATCCAGATCGGTCCAGATATTCCAGAATATTCCGGTTTCCCGAAAGTCCGGAAGGGCCCGGGAGGTCCGGGGTCCGGATTCGGTCCGGTGTCCGGTCCGACGTAGCTATGAAATGATCTAACTTATACTCTGACTAGTTCTCCAACAACAACAGTAAATAGAACTAGCAATGGTAGACTACTTCAATTCTGGTCTAGAGCTGTTTGTCAGGTGTTAGCAGTCTGTCACACCTCAACTAATCAAAATAAAGTAAATCATTTGCGCGGATGCATGTGGAAATGGAAATAGAAATAATAATAATCTTCGAGCACCAACTGGAACCTTCCTTCCCTTGTATCCAACGAACCGATGAGCATCATCAAGCAGCGGTGTCTAAGGTGTGCATTAGCGTCCCACCCCTGTGCGCAGGAACTCGCTTATGACCAGCATTACTCTTTATTTATCCTCGTGTGCAACGAGCCTTATGTCTGACTGATCTGGCTGATCAAGAGGCAGTTTAAGGACAGCCCCTAAGGTCCTCAGGAATTATTTAACGTCGCAGACAGGACAACGATCACAGCCAGTGGACAGAACAGATCCGCGCCAGAAATATTTATAGATGGTTTGGTAAGCGTCTGCAAAAGACTGGTCAGTCCACGTTTCCTCTATTAGCGCAGCAAAGAGCCTTCAATGGACAAAGCAGCATGGCCTGCGTGTACTACTCTCATGGGTTGGCATGGTGACTGTGACCCGTGCTTCGACCAGTGCCCTTCAGAGGCACCGCCCTCTCCTGCCAGATGTGCCACCGGAAAGAATGTCGTCTCTCAAGGTAGAGCGCTCACGACTCCTTACACAAAAGGGAGGACACTCAAAGTCGGACTCGCTTCCTTGCGGTAAGAAGAGATTGAGAGGGAAGATAAGGTAAGTGAACAATGTACCTGAAGATAGCTGCCCCCAACCACAAATTTCTCACCAGGTGAGACGACGTGCATTTTGATGACCATTCATAGCCTCGGTACCACAAACAACACAATGTCGTGCCACCTCAGCCAAAATGCCATGTCAGCATGCTCTCATCATTCCACACACATCCGCTGTCGCCACAGCCTTCCAGCCCCTCACCCCTCTACCTGGGTGGGGCTAATCAAACCAGCGCCAAGGTATCCTCACTGCATAGAAGCTTCGTCCACGCACCAAGTAACTAAGACACCAGCGCTAGAATGACGATATCCGAACCAGCTCCGATACCGAATTGCAAGGAATATGAGCAAGAGCGATATACAGAAAACCAAGTTGTGAAATCACACAGATGTCCAAGTAGTCATGTGTGAGCAAAGAGTGCAAATGCACTGAGATTCCATCCAGATCAGAGCAACACGAGCCAATGTCCAAGTCCTCAGGCCACACCAACACCGTATCCAATGTCACTCCTACTCTGTCTGGCGCCCAGCGCCCAGCCTACACTACTCGCCTATCCTACTACACCAGCGTTCACGCAACAGGCTCACTTCGACCTTGAAGACCAATGTACATGACGTCAACACCATAGCTGACCTCCCTCATGCACCAGGTATGTATCTCGTCTCTTCTCATCACCCCTGACTTCCCACAGTGTGCATTCTCAACACCCAAAGACCACCATCGCCATCCAGACCTGCGCCCAACAGCCCAGCTATGGCTGCCCTGCGCCCATTGCCCAGCAGTGCACCTCACACCTCAGCGCCCGTGTGCGCGACCCAGCCAGCAGCTTCGTGCAGATCACGAAGGTGCAACGCAGCAGCGTGGCCGCATTGCCTGCCTCGGCCAGAATGCCCTGCCCAGCGATGCTCACTTTCCTATATGGAAAGTGAGCTCAGCCTCTGCTGCCTCTGGGCCTGGCTGGGCGAGCATCCAGTAGCTTCTAGTCGGGCCTCAGTGCCTGCGTGCAGGCCTAGTTGCAGTTAACGGGCCTGGGCCCTTTACAGTTGGGCACGTCCAGGCAGTCCACGGGCCTCCACATGTTCGCTGTGATCTCATTGGCTCATGGCCACTTTGTGTCGGCAATGCTGCAATCTCATTGGTCCGTGGCTGTTGTACGATGTGTTGGCCTCTGAAAGCACGCGCCCAGGGCCTTAACTGTACGGGGCCCTGGGCTCAACTGCCCGTCGAGGCTGCAACTTCCGGAAAGAGCCTGGAGAGGCTCACGTTGCTCTGTAACCAACTGGCATGCCGCAACTGTCTGATACCCGCATATGAAAGAATGTCAAATCTTGGCCTCTTGTGAATATTCAGGCCCGCCTTCACTTAGGGCTGGATCAGGGCTTGCTGAGGGCCTCTGCCCAGAACATGTGCATGTCTGTTAAGGGCCCCGTGAGGGCTCATTCCCCGCACATATATGACCCCTTTAGGGTGATCACACTGGCCTGTACCCAGGCCTTGGCACATGTTGGCAGGCAAGGCCTTTTCCCAGTACTGCCGAGGGGTCAAATCCTCGCACATGTGAGTAATGGGATGCTTTAACCCTCAGCGGCTGGCATTGAATGGTTCACATTTGGAGTGTTCTTCATGGGGAAGGACCAGTCCCCGACTCTATCTATTTTTTTGCCCGGACCATTGACTGCTTGGCTTGCAGGAAAAGAGCCTGCCCCACGGACCAGGGTCCTAAATATAAATTTCAAAAAGGAAGTTTCCTGGCTCCTAGAAACAGTGGTAAAATTTGGGGCCAGAGATGTGACGGTCGGGTTCCGCGGAACCCTTCCCCCCCCCCAAAAGAAGAACAAGAGCTCACCCCTTTTAAGATAGGCTTACCCTCACTAGGGTAAATACTGTTACCCACGACCTTTCGGATTCCCCCACCACTCAACAAGCAGAGCCTACCGTTGCTCCATTAGGTCCTCGGTTGAAACTCCATCCGAGCGAGTATATACACCAATACGGTTGCTATACTCTACCTCTTGTCCTGAAAGCACCACGGAGCACGTCACCACTCCTAGTGTGTCAGGCCTTCGGCAGCGCCCCTTGCATTCGACTGGAGATCAGGCCACTAGCCCTGGTGTCGGCCACACCTGGTCTGCTTTTTTCTGCTTGCCTCCTGCTCCCTCTTCGTGCCTATCGCTACTTGTCCGAAACACCATAATACCTTGGTTCTATCGGAGAACTTTCCCTGGTTTCTGACGAGCAGATCGCACAAGCCGCTGCCTGCCTCAGCCGCTCATACTGCCATTGCTGTACATGCTGTGTGCGACCGAGCTTTCACTCGGGTCGACGAAGTGGTGCTCACACAGCGGGGTAACGCTAATTGCTCACTATTCTACCAAGTGCTCCACAGCATGAGCTGGCCTGGCTTCCATTGATGGCTCCATGAGCTTGCTCTTGACCGGCACTTCTGCTTCAAAATCTTGTTTGAACGCCGCTCACATCAGAGTGAATTAAGTTTTGTTGCTTATGGGTTATCCCCGCATCACGGTATCCACGCCTGGGTGATCACATCAAGCTGCAGCCTACATGGCGCTCGGAGCGGTAACGTTTTTGTACCCACCACCCACTCACTGACCCCCCACCCAGTGTGGCCTAGTTGCCTTCCCCCCATGTGCATGATCTGTTCCCCCCTACTCCCCCACTCCCCTACCTCTCCTCTCCCGTTCGTCTGACAAGTCTAGGAGCCCGGGCTGTGGTTGATTGACGGCTCGTGTCCCTTTTGGTACACAATGGGGGTAGTTTAGTTCTTCGCCAATACAAGGGCCGCACAACCGAATTGGGACATTCACTTCTTTTCTACCACAACCTTCGTATCAGTGTGGAGTTACTTGCTTGTTAGCGAGGACTTGATTTTAACAATTTAACATGGGCGAGTGCATCTGGTTTTGTTTTGCTGGGGTGATGGTTTGTTGTGGTTGACACTTAGGCACTCCTGTACGCTTCCTTGTCGGAGTTCTGAGGTGTGTTGGTGCTCCGGATTCGGCATCGATCGAAAGGATTCCTCGCCATCAACTTGGATACGTTGGTCATTGTGCATATCACCCTCGTCTTCTTGATTGTGCTTCTGGCATACCTCACCTTCCTGACATTCATGGATGTTCAGCCTCTGCTGACATTCCCGGGTGGGAACAGGAATAGCAATGTATTTTTTGCGATCCAGTCGAAGTGGTGCAAGGCCTAGTACCTTTTATTAGAAGAGAGGTTCTCCCCGTCACCTCGGACTGCGTGGCTGGGAGCAACTTGAGTATAGTGCCATTGATTTTGGACGACACCGTTTCATTCCCTACTTCGCCCTTTCCCACCCCCTCTTACTGTGCAGTCTATTCTGCCTCTCCTGCGTCTCTACTCTCCTATCCTCAATCCTTGCCTCACCATGGTTCTATGCACTCTTTGCCCTCCCCTCTTCAGGCCTGTTCACTTGCCCTACTGAATCTTTGGAACCTCGAACCCAGATTAGCTATCTTATGGTGGCTTTGATCCTCCTGATGAATTCTTGTTCATGCATCATAGCCGGGGTAGAAGTAGTTCAGTTCCCGCTGATCGCTAATACTTCTTCGTTTCGATATGAGCATTTCTGGATGTCTTTCGGACCTTTGGATAGTGAGCGGAGCTTTTCTCCGGGGTAGGGCCTGCATGGTTTGAGAGTGTCATGAATGAGGAGGAACTGCGAATGAGGGCGGTAGGTTTTCTGCTGATTTGATCGTACTTGCATGAGTTATTTTCTGAAGGGCTAGTACTTCGTCTATAATCGGCTCTCGACGTGGGATGTGGGACTCACAACATGGGGATGAACGGCGGGCATGAGACTTGCTCAGTAGCATGGGGCGCGTACAAATCATTTGCCGAGAAGGGTAGGGTACACGATTGGTTCGGCAGCATCAAGGATGATCTCCAAAGGATGGGTTCCGATGAGTCGCCAGGGATGACCTCCGGAAGGAATTGGCTGCTATTGCTGAGGATTGATGGCGGGGAATCGTAGCCTGGTCGATAGGGCCGGAGGTGACGACGAGTATTGTGAGTCGTTTGGGATGTTCAGAGTACCGGTTGAAGTTTGAGTTGGAGGGTGGGTTGGGGGTGGTGGGCGATGTTTCAGAGTAATGGTTCGGAAATCGATCTCTTCAAAATGGAGTACGGTGGGCGCCACACGGGAGCTCGCTCGATTATAGCGGCAACTAGTTCGCTTGGATTCTTTTCATGAGTATTACTTTCGTAAGGAGAGTTCAGGCTCTTATGCTTTACCACAGAAGGCGTTATTCTGATCAGACTGGTCACGGATGGATGGTCATGTGGTGTTGATAATGGTTGTGTCGGTTTGGTTAGTACGTTTCATCGGGTTGTGCTCGGGGAGGTTGATTGATGTTTCGTGAGTAATGGGATGCTTTAACCCTCAGCGGACCTTTGGATAGTGAGCAGAGCTTTTCTCTGGGGCAGGGCCTGCATGGTTTGAGAGTGTCATGAATGAGGAGGAACTGAGAATGAGCACGGTGGGATTCCTGCTGATTGGATCGTAGGTGCCTGCGCTCTTTCCGAGGGGTTATAATTGACTCTCGATGTGGGGTGTGGGACTCACGACATGGGGATGAATGGCGGGCACGAGACTTGCCCAGTTGCATGAGGTGTGTACAGATCATTCTCTGAGAAGGGTAGGGTACGCGTTTGACTCGACAGCATCGGGGATGGCTTCCAAATGATGGGTTCCGCCGAGTCACCAGGGAAGACCTCCAAAATAAATAATTTGGCTGCTATTACTGAGGATTGATGGCGGGGCTGTTCGATAGGACTGGAGGTGATGACAAGTATTGTGAGTCGTTTGTGATGTACCGGTTGAGTTTGAGTTGGAGGATGGGTTGGGGGTGGTGGGCGATGTTTCGGAGTAATGGTTCGGAAGTCGATCTCTACCGAATGGAGTACGGTGGGTGCGGCACGGGATCTCGCTCGATAAGAGCGGCAACCGGTTCGCTTGGATTCTTTTCATGGGTAATTGCTTTCGTAACGAGAGGTCAGGCTCTTATGCTTTACCACGGAAGGCGTTATTCTGAGTAGACTGGTCACGGATGGATGGTCATGTGTTGTTGATAATGCTTGTGTCCGTTTGGTTTCTACGTTTCGTCGGGTTGTGCTCGGGAGATTGATTGATGTTTCTTGCTGCTCACCCTTGACAGAGACTGGAGGGTTGCTCTCATATTTTGTTACTTTGAATGATGAACTCCGGTGTCTGGCCACGGAGCTCTATGCATTGTGTCCTTTAAAACGACTTCATCGTACTTTCATTAAAAAGTACATGACCTATCGAAAGTTTGATTGGCATATTTCACTGTCTTTTCGATGGTACTTCCTATTATTTTTCGCTTTGGGGCTTTTAAGTGATGTTTGGATTTGCAGGGTGTGGCTGTTCTATTTCTGTGTTTAAAAGGGGCAATTGCATGATCATTCCGAAATCGCTTCCTGGTATAATTTGTTACCGTTCCATAAGGCTTACAATGCGGTGAGTACTGGTCTCTTATAGTGTTGCTTGAATAGCATGAGTTGTGACTCACCATGCCGCGGTACGACCGTGGGAGTAATGCTTCTCTTAAACACACGCATAGTACAACTCTTTGTACTTTCGATGGGGTCAGACTCCCTGTCGACATGCTGTTATCTTTTTGCATGCTCCCTGACATCCTCTGGGCAGGTACATGCATGTGGTGGTCCTTGTTTGGTGACCGAAATATTTTAGTGCGGACAATCTTGCATGGAGATTATACCCACTCACACCTTGTTTGTCCTCTCTCTCTCTCTCTCTCTCTCTCTCTCTCTCTCTCTCTCTCTCTCTCTCTCTCTCTCTCTCTCTCTCTCTCNTCTCTCTCTCTCTCTCTCTCTCTCTCTCTCTCTCTCTCTCTCTCTCTCTCTCTCTCTCTCTCTCTCTCTCTCTCTCTCTCTCTCTCCCCCCTCCTTTTGCCCCCCTTAAAATCTGTTGTTGATTGCCCTATGGGCCGTGGCAGGTTCCATCCTTTTCCGAGCACGAATGATCTACTGATCTTCTGACTGGTGACTCCTCATGGATGGATTCGTTTGTGGCTCCATCACGCCCCACGCAAGCACTTATTTGCCTAGTCCCCGCCAGAGTGCTGGAGTTTGTGCGGATCCATTCAATTGGGGCTTCGACTCCTCTAATTACGATCCTCTCCTTTGACCACAGGGCTGAATCAGATCTTTTATGGACTGCCGCACACGACAAACCAGCTTTCCTCAATCTCACCGAGTATCTTGTTACGGAGTCACGTAACATTGTGGGGGTGCACTGGTGGACCTTTGTGTTGGTGACAACCTAGCTTTGAAGAAGAAGGTTTTCGTAGATCTCTGGGGAGCAGAGTCCAACTTTCATGCGGGTATAATTCAGAGGGACCTTATGGTCCCTGCTGACCAGTCGAGGTCCGAGTATGGGGAAGGGGAGGGAGAGGAGGATCCCCTCGATCTGACGGAGGAGGAGAGGTAATAGCACGCAAAGATGTTGGCCAGAGGGAGAAAGGAAAAGGTGAGGGTGGTGGTAGCAAACTAGAGGGCGCAGATGAGTAAGTTTGCTCGGAATGCCTTCTTACCTACAATTCCTACTAGATGGGCGGAATCGCAGTCCAGGGGTGTGGATGACAAGTTATGGGATCTCCCCACATTCAATTATGTGGCAGTTATCCGTGCTGATTCTTACCGCTTCATTGCGTCCCTCACGGACCAGGAGATGACTAAATGTAATGAGAAGGCGCTCACTGAGAACATTGATCCGTGTAGGGGGGACTTTCCACTCACTGCGAACACAATGAATCTCCCGGTGATAGGTGATTTTGATCGGACAAAGTGCACTGTGTAAGAGTCCGGCCTCTTGATTAGGGGTTTCATTGGCCCAAGGATCCAGTCAGCAATTGCTGAACTTAAGCGCATCTGGAATGTTGGTAGACCATATGTGAAGTGTCATTGCATTGAGCAGGGAAAAGGGGATTGAGGGAAGAATATCACGTGGTTTGACCACGTTTTTTGGTACCTTCATTACCTTTTTCCAGAAGCCCCTTCCCGTAGAGAGCGAGCTCACACATTTAGAGTAATGGCTAGGACCAGGTGGCGTGTGCCCGTGTTCGCCTCGGTGGTGTTCTTCCACATGAGAAAGATAATGGTCAAAATGACCCACAGTGTCACCATGGATCCATCCAGGAATCAGCAGAACATCTTGGATGATCCTGCGATCATGCTTCACAAGTTCCCAAGGACAATGGCCAAACTCGTGCTCCCGTCCTGATACGTCCGTTCCTCAGAGAAGAGAAAGGTAGAAACCTCTTCCTCAAGGACTGCTACCAAGAAGCCGAAGAGGGACCAACAGACCACACTAGAATTTTGCGTTGTGCCCATTCAAGAGCGGACAACGGTTACGGTCCTTTGCACAACTCCTGGGTCTACGGTAACTACACAGGAGGATGGCCAAGACCCCACCTCCGCCTCGAGCAGGGCGACACGGAAGAACCTGAGAGAAAAAGCTCCTTCCAGGGCTGCACTATTCAAAGCCTGACGATTTGATGTGAACGTGAATGGTTCGTGTTGTGCAGGATGGAGAGGGCTTCATAACGCGTGATCCCTCCGGAAGGAATGTATGGCAGAAAACCTCTTCGGAAAGGAAGGATTTCTTTGTACATATGAAGTATACGAGCAGGATCATGGAGAAAGTTCGCTTCAGATCTATCTCTGATCTGCCACTAGGCAGGCTGTCGCAACTTCAAATGGTTCTGATCTGCCACTACGCATGCTGGCTCAACTTGATATGGTTCTGATCTGAAACTTGGCAGGCTGGCGCAACTTGATATGGTTCTGATCTGCCACTCGGCAAGGAGGCGCAACTTGATATGGTTATGATCTGCCATGAGGCTGGCGCAACTTGATATGGTTCTGATCTGCCACTTGGCAGGCTGGCGCAACTTGGTATGGCTCTGATCTGCCACTTGGCAGGCTGGCGCAACTTGATATGGTTATGATCAGCCGCTTGGCAGCGCTGTGCAGCGCAATTGGTGTTGTTCATCCACTTGGCAGGTCTGTACATTTTGATATGGATCTGATCTGCCACTTGGCAAGCTTGAGCAGCTCGATGCGGTTCTGATCTGCCAGTTGAAAGGCTTGAGCAGCTAGATGCGGCTTTGATCTGTCGCTAGGGTTGTCCAGCTCGGTACGGTTCTGATCTGCCACTTGGCAGGCGTGTGCCGTCGCACATGAATTCGGTCTGTCACTTGGCAGGCTCGTAACGCATGGTATGGTGCTGATCCATCGCTTGGCAGACTGGCTAAAGATCTGGATTGGCAACAACATTTTCCTCCCACCGGTTCAATGTGTTGGGACTGTGTTTACGCTCAGAACGGTAATGTTGGATTGTGCGCCCACTTGGATCGGTGATGATAGGTCTTTTTGTCCACACAGAGTGATAGTGTGGAGTCATGCGCTCTATTGGGTTGTTGGTGCTGACTCAGTGCGTGCCCTGGTGCGTGCCCAACCTCGAAATTGCAGATTTGGTGCGTGCCCAGGCCCGACATTGCTGTTTCAGTGCGCCCCCATGCTTGACATTGCTGTTTCAGTGCGCCCCCATGCTTGACATTGTTGTTTTGGTACGTGTCCAAGCTTGGCCTTGCTGATTGAGTGTGCGCCCAAGCTTGGACTGGTTGTTTTAGTGCGCGCCCAGGCTCGGCATTGATGTTCTAGTGTGCGCCCGTGCCTGGCGTCGCTGATTTAGCGTGTGCCCAGGCCCCTGCAATCAGACTCGCTTTCATTCACACTTTTCATGCATGCAAACAGTAGCGCAGCAAACTGGCGACATGTGCCCACTCAGTACTCAGAGATATGGCAACCCAGATACGAGTTCACTTTCAATGGCTATGGCGATATAGCGCCGATACAACTCTCTGTTCGGATACAGTGGATCACCCTGGATATCCCACACTCGTCTCTCTGAACACTCACACACACACACACTGAACACTCACTACAGCTATGGCGGCTATGGCCGCCTCTACCCTATCGCTATGGCTACACTTCGTCTCTCTGCCCACTTCGTCCTCGGGCTCACTGCAGACCTCCTTGCACAAGTCGCTGTGGCAGCGCTTCCGCATGGCTCACGCAGGAATGAATAAATGGTTGAGCGCTGCCTCTTGATTTATACTTCTGAAGCTCGTTGGTCTGCCCCTTTCCCTCGGCCCATGGTGCACACAGTCCCTCATGGTACTTGCTGGACCGGACTGGGACTGACTGGACTGCACCGCTGACTACATGGGGACGCACTGCTATCCTACCGCTATCTTACTGCGAACGTACTGCAGTTGGTCCACCACTTTCCCACTTGCTCGACCTTCTAGAAGGACTACAACTAAGACTTCGGGAACTTACTAAGACTTCTATTCGACAGACCTACAGATCGAACCCCCACAATCTACGGACCTATGACGGCCTACCAGTTGACTACAAGTACACAGGTCACGGGTTCAACTCTCGAGGTCTACACAGGTACTGTACACGGTAGGGTAAGGTCTAGGGATCGAGCCCTGGGATCTGCATGTGCTACTGCAAAGGTGAAAACCGTTTCACTCCCACCGTGCTAAATTCGAGGTCCTCCGAGAATATCTTAATCCAAGGCAGGACCTTTACCCTTCTTATCACGCTCGTAGGCTCTAACTATGTCGGGAGCTGTTTCTAGAAGTTCTGTTCTAGTAAACCAGCATTCGTCTTCCGGTTCCTGATAAGAAAACCGGACTTTATACTGTTTCTGAGGACGACCTCTCCCTCCTGTCCTAAACACATCTTTCATCTACAATGTCGTCAATGTCATATCTTCCATCCATATCCGGAGGGATCATGGATCTTCTTGAAGGGAACTGTTGACTTGTGACACACGGCAACAGCTTTGAAGCATGGAACACAGGGTAGGTGTGGAGGTGTGCTGGAATCTCTATAGTGTAGGACGGTCCATCCTCTCCGCCCTTGACTTCTAGAACCGGCCACGGTCCTCTATATGCAGGCAGTAACTTCTACGAGATGTTCTCCTCAGGTGCAAACTCTGTAGACTTGACCCAGACCAGGTCGCCTACCTGAAACTGCGATGGGGGACGGTGCTTATTAGTCTGTTCTATCATCCGGTGCTGGGTCTTCCTGAGGTTCTCAACAACAGTTGCTAGCTCTTTCTCGTGCTGTATCGCAAGCTCCCTGGTACCGGGTGGTAGCCTGTGAATCTGATCCCGAGTAAGTCTTTCAAACGGCCTGCGGGGTCTAAAGGACTTGTGTAACTCATTGGGAGTGCGACAGGTAGACAAATGCACGCTGTTATTGTATGCGCTGGCTACCTTGGGCAACATCTCGTCCCAATTGACTTGATCCGGTCTAATATACATGCGCAGAACTTGCTGCAGGATCTTGTTGTTTTGTCTGACCGTTAGTCTCTGGATGACGGCCAGATGACATCAGCAACTTTGATCCATGGACTCTCATTAGTTCCTGCCAGTTCTGACTCGTGAATCTGGTATCTCTATCACTAACTATAGACAAAGGAACCCCGTGATCACTAATCCAATGATAAAAAAACTTTTGAATGACTAACTCCGTACGTGCCTCTGCAGGCAAAGGAACAAAAACTGCATATTTACTGAATCTATCAACTATGACCATGACTTGGCTCTTGCCGTGTCTACTCTTGACACCGGCATCCATGAAGTCAATGGAGATTGAATTTCCAGGTTGGTCTGGGATAGGCAAGGGTCTGAGAAGACCTGGAGGGGCACGCGTAGTAGTCTTGTTCCTCTGGCAAACTTTGCAACTGCGAACATACTCTATGCAGCCAACTTTCATTCCTGGCCAGGTATACGCACGCATCAGATTGGCTAAAGTCTTCTGCCAACCGAAGTGTCCCTCTGTGTCATGGCATTCCCCTAGGATCAGACTACGGATCTCTTCACTGTTGGGGACGCATAGGCGATCTACTACATCAGTCTTCTCAAACAACAATCCTTCTGTAGTGCGGTAGTGTGGTTCCGTCTCTGGGGCCTCGTTAACTCTCTTGAGGAGGTTACTGTAGATAGGGTCCTGCGCATATGCCTGTCTAACTTTCTCTTGCAGGTCCTTCCCTATATCCAGGTAATGCACTATAGCTCCAAAGTAGTCTGATCTCCTACTTAGAGCATCTGCAACTACATTGTACTTGCCTTTGACTGGTTTGAGCTCAAAGTCATATTGGTCTATCTCAGCGGCCCACCTAGTCAACTTAGGTGTCATTTTGGCCTGCATCTTCAACCATCTAAGCGTTTCATGGTCTGAGTATACTTTGAAGTGCCTCCCAAGCAAGTAATGTTTCCAGTGCTCTAAGGCCTGCCTGAGAGCGTAGAGTTCTCTCTCGTACGTTGAGGTGGCTACCTTCTCTAAGGGCATCCTCGCTGACATGAACTCTACGGGTCTATAGCCATCGCCGTCGTCTTGCTGCAACACGGTGCCTATACCATACTGACTTGCATCCGTGGTGACGACAAATGGTAAGGACGAATCTACTACCTTGAGGACAGAGTACTCTATTAACGCGCGCTTCAGTTTCTTCAGCGCAGATGTACAGTCTTTATCCCACTGCCAGATTGCCTCTTTCTTAAGCAACCTGCGCAAGGGAGCGGCGATAGTAGARAAGTTCCTTACRAACTTTCTRTAGTAGTTAGCTAGGCCYAAGAAYGACYGCAAYTYGGTCAACGTGCGGGGCGTCRGCCAGTCTCGAATTGYCGCTATCTTGYTRTCCTCYRRCTTAATGCCATCTCCRTCTAAYACGTGGCCCAAGTACAAAACTTGTGTCTTGGCCCACTCACACTTCTTCGCATTGATCTTGAAGTTAGCTTCTCTGAGCTTCTCCAAGACCTGCCTCAAATGACCCTGATGTTCCCGGAGGGTCCTACTGAAAACTAAGATATCGTCTAAGTAGACTACGACGAATCTATCCAACCAAGGTCTAAACAGATCATTCATACAACGSTGAAACGTAGCTGGCGCGTTGGTTAGTCCAAAGGGCATCACTATGAACTCATAATGCCCATATCTAGTCCGGAACACAGTCTTGTACTGGTCATCAGGGTGGACCTCTATCTGATGATAACCGGACTTCAAATCTATCTTTGAAAAATACTTGCAACCCTGCACCCGATCTAAGAGATCGTCTATCCTGGGCAGTGGTTCAACATTCTTGACTGTGATCGCATTCAGACCTCTATAGTCGATACACATTCGCAACTCTCCTTCCTTTTTGAGGACAAACAAAACAGGTGCTCCAAAAGGAGATGAACTGGGCCTAATCCAACCCTTCTCGAGGAGCTCGTCCAACTGCATGCGCAACTCCTCTAACTTTGTAGGGGACATCCTGTAGATTGCTCCCTTAGGAGTTCGACTGCCAGGCTCTATTTCTATCCTGTGCTGGATTGGTCGCGGCACCACTCCTGTCGGCGACTCGGTTAGATCTTTGAACTCCTCCAGCAGCTTGGCAATGGTTGGGTCCATGGAACTATCCCCTTCCTTAGGCTCAGTGACATGTCTGACATATACTACAAAGACCTGGTCCTCTAACTCCTCCTTTTTCACCAATCGCGCGAACGTGGGAGCACTGACACAACAATGTGCCGGCGAGTTGTCTACTCCTGACACATGGAACAGACGGGTTGTCTTAACCTCGCCTGGCGGACTAGGGAGCCTACACTCGTGCTCTCTCAAGTGGAGTGTGGCCCCTGCTGCCTCTCCCCAATCCAGGCGAAAATACGCCTGGACTCCCTCTACATAGTCCTCAACACGCATAGTGCGGTTGTCTGCGAAGACACTGGCTATGGGGTCTGGCAACTTTTGGACTTTCAATCCTAGCCTCAGCTTCTTCAACGCTCTACGGCTAATATAACTACGGGTAGCCCCTGAGTCTATAAGGGCCCCTACTCTACTACTGAAAACTTCTACATTAACTAGAATTAGTTGTCCCTTGCTCTCCTTCTTCATTTTGGCCCAGGCCGGCATTCTCTCCTTCAACACTTCTGCCACGCCTGTGAGGGAAGTGCCTAGAGAGACGCTAACACAAGCAGTCTCTGGACAGTTAGCTAGGCACTTACCTGCAACCTCTGCCATAGGCTCATGTGGTTTGGGAGTTTCCTATACGCGCGCGCTCGCTTCCCCACATGGCCTTGAAGTAGGGGCAGTTGCCACCCCTATTGGCGGCTGCCTTTTGACTGTTGGGCAGCCCATCGGGCCTGTCTATACTTAGGACAAAATTTAATTACATGGGCCGGGTCACCACAAAACACGCACTGACCCAAGTCCACGCGTTCCTGCCATACGCGCTGGTCCAAGCCCAAATCTTCCTAGGGCCTGCCCTGCGGCAAGCCTGGGTGCCATCCTCCTTGAGGTGGCCTTCCACCTCGTCGCTGCGAGGACCGACAAGAACCCTGATGATTTGGCGGGGGACCTTGCCTCCTACCTCCCACTTGGCGGTTCCCTTGTCCGCCAACCCCCTGTGCGCCTGGTCCTCGTCCTCCTGTGGCCTGGCCCTGGCCTCCTCCTCTACCTTGCGGCCTCCCTCCAGCCGCGACAACCACATAGGACCTCCCCTGCCCCACGCTACTGTCCTCATCCTCGAGGCCCCACTCGATCTGACTATATGGGACCTCGTATGTACCACCTTCCTCTAAAGTAAGGATCATATGATCCTTGGCCCTGACTTGGTCAGGGATGGTACGGCCTTTCCACTTCTTCCCCTTATCCAAGTCCTTATGCCAGAAACTGGAAACTGGCATGGACTTGACTCGAACAGGACCACCTCTCTACTCAGCACATCATACGTGATGTCGGTCTGTTGAGATTTGTCAAAGAAATGCCCACGCAGGGGCTCCGGCATGGCACGATAAAATAACTGGACCAATTGGGGCTCAGTGACCCCATGGTCTGGGACGGCTACCAAGTCATCCATAACGCCCTTGAGTGCTCTTGCACTCCTCCACTGTCGTGAGTGGATGGTCTGTAACTTGTCAGACACCCTAACTCCTCTCGTGGGGTCAGCAAATCGCTCCCTCGGGAGCTTAAAGGATTGAGGAAGAGGGGTAATCTTAGAGTATGCAACCAGGTTGTTTTCACAACCGGTCACGCGCGCAAGGGATCTGGCAAAACTGGCCGCTTCGTCTTTGAGGGCCTGGAAGGCGACGAGGACTTGCTCCTCAGTCAGGATGTGCTGTAAATACACATAACTATTGACGCTCACCGCCCAGTTATCAAAATTATTCTCCTTTCCGCCATATGCGTCTCGGAACTTAAGCTTGACGGGCTCTTTACGGGGCCTGGCCTCACTCTCGATAGCGGCAACTCCCTTGGCACTCTCGATGGCACCCTCGCAAAACTTTCCCACGTTCTCTCTTAACCGCCTAACTTCGCCCCCAACGTGGGTGACCATATCGCGCGCGAAATCCCGGAATCCTGACCGCATGACACTCAAGGCCACATCGTGACCCCAGTTGGCTTGGCGCTCCTCCATCGAAGCTTCACTGAACACTTCCAAGTACCCCAGCATCTTATCCATTTTGGCAGAAATATGTGTTTGCGCCGGCACCTCTTGTCTACAGTCTCTCACCTTTGCCACCTCCGCGATCAACCTATTAACTTCCTCCCTCCTTCTCTTCTTTTCCCTCTTCATCCTTAGTTTCCACTCCAACTTTTTCTCGTCCTCTGTTTGTCGTTCTAGGGGGTCCTCGATTGTTGCTAGCTCCCTGGCTAACGCGTCCCTCTCATCCTGTGGCACATACATCTCTGCCTCCTTGTCATCCCCCAACGATAAGTTAGCAATCCACTCACTAATCTTCTTCTCCATCGTTGCCTCCTCATTCGCCGTACCACTACTCTCCCCTTTTACTTCCCTGCGTTTTCTCTCCTCTTCTGCTTCTGCAACTGATTCTACCTCGGCAGCCTTTTTTTTCTCCTCCATCTCTTCTTCCAACTTCTTCATCTTCGCCACCTGCTCCTCTGCGATTGCTTTTAATTTTGCCTGCTTCAGAAGCTCTTTCCTTTCTTTATTCTCTCTCACTAAGGCGGCCATCTTCTCTTGTTGCTCCTGGGTGTAGGGGCTAGTGCTCTTCCCACTACGGGTCTCAACCATGGTGATACGTGCACAACCGGATTGACGGTGTCGGGACCGGTGGGTCCCGAATGACTTCCCATCACTCGAGAGCTTGTATAGAGTCAATTTGTGCACAACAGAGAATTCGGGAATAAGGAGGAACAGGAAGAGAAAGAGCAAAGGACGAAGCTGTCGAGAACAATGGCACCCCGGGTTGGGAACCACAGGGAAGAGCTAGCAGCAGCAGGGAAACGAGCGCGGAGGCTTGGGCATGGAAGGGCGCAGCTTGAGGACGGACGGGGCACTGGAGTTCGAGACAACGGAAGGCAAGGGGATGCATGGGACCAAAGGGAGAGCAATGGTAGTAGGGACTAAGTGTCGGGGGCCGCCGACGGGACTAAGTGTCGGGAACCGCCGATGGGACTAAGTGTCGGGAACCTCCGACGGGACTAAGTGTCGGGAACCGCCGACGGGACTAAGTGTCGGGAACCGCCGACGGGACTAAGTGTCGGGGACCGCCGACGGGACTAAGTGTCGGGAACCGCCGACGGGACTAAGTGTCGGGGACCGCCGACGGGACTAAGTGTCGGGAACCGCCGACGGAACTAAGTGTCGAGGACCGCCTACGGGGCTAGGTGTCGGGGACCACCGGCGGGACAAGTTTACCGGCGGTCCATGGCGGGACGAGTACCAAGGAATAACATGGGACAAGTGGCAGGGACTCGTGACGTCCCAAGAAAAAAAGGCAAGGAGCGACGTGAGGCACAAATAATTAAAGAAGGGCGCGTCGTCAAGATCACGGATCTTGACGGCCAAAGAATATTAGCCCCGCTAGTGCGGGTACTAGTGGGAGCGAACGGGGGGGCTGAAAAGAAAAAAAAAAGTGAAGGAAATCGAAGTAGGAGGCATGGGAGCAATCCGAGAAATCTTGAATCAGCCTCCCCCCAGAAAAATTGAGTAAAAAGAAAGCCCATGGGAAAATAAGGCCCCCGGGGTAAATCGGAGTAGCGGAGCCCACTGCGGGAGAATAATGGAAGTAAAAGGAGGCTCCCATGGGCATGGGAAGGCCAAAATTGCAGTCCGGGCTACAACGGATTGCACCATGAGGAGAGGAAAGGCCAAAACTAAGAGGGAGGGCCTAGAAAAGGGCCTTAACGACTAGTTGACACTTCGCATGCAAAAAGAAAAAGGAGAGAAAAAGAAAAATGTGGGAGGATAAGACAAAATGAGTGAGAGGGAGTGAGTGAATAGCCGTCAGTAGGGACTGCAGCAAGAAGGGACTGGCAGGTCCCTACTGTCCACAGGTGGAGGGAAAAGAAAAGAAAAGAAAAAGAAAAAGAAAAGGAAAGAGAGAGGAAAAGACAAAAGAGCACTAACAACCAAAAACGACCACTTGGGGAGGTGCCTCCGTGACCAGATTCATCCTGGAATATGGCGGTTGCAAAGGACCTTGACTTTCTTTGATTTTTGCAGAGAAAATCAAAGAAAATCAAGGCCCCATACAACCGAAAAATAACGGATTGCCATAGAGGAGGAAAAACACATGTTTTATATGCATCCGGAGCCAAAATCAAGTCCGGACATCCGGGAGTTGGTCGTTTGTTTTCTTTCAAGTAAGGGGTTAGTTGTGAGGGAGTGAGGCTAGAGAATTGACCCCTACTGCAGTCTGAGTTACAATGGACTGCATAAGGATGCCTAGGCTAAGAGGAAAATGAGATACGGCAAGGCCAATGGGCTAGAAAAAGGAGATTTCGGCATGAGGCAAACGGAGACAGTAAACGACAATCGTGAGATGAGATCTCACAGCCGGGAAAAATTGGCACGCGAAGGAGGAGTGTTGGACCGCCAAGGACAAGGGGACCACAAAAATAAAATGAGGCACCATCCGGGATGTTTCCGTGAACCAAAGTGGACCCAAATAATAAAAATCGGAAAAACGGGGCGCGCGCCGACGGGACTACCGGCGGGACAAGAAAATGGAACTAGTGCGGAGAAAGTGGCGGGGACCCGGGGTGTTTCGAAGGGAGTCTTGGGCCAAGCAAAGAAAATAAACAACGGCATTAGCAGGCGGGGCCGTTGAGATGAAGGATCTAGACGGTGGGAAATACGAGCACTACTAAGTGCAAGCGCCAGCGGAACCAAATGGGAGGGTCACGGGAGGAAGGCAAGGAGGAATAATGGTGATAGGGGTTTTGCCCAGCAGTCTGAGATATCACGGACTATCTAGGCCTGAGAAAATAGAGCCCCAAGGGACTCCACATGAGAAAATGGTTGTCCGAGGAAAATCGGAGCAAGGGGGCCCAAAATCGAAAATAACGGAGGCAAAATGGAGCTCCCTAGGAGCATGGGGGTGCCACTATTGCAATCCGAAGTATAACAGCCTAGTGACTGTTGAGAATCTGGCCTTGGGTGGGGTTCTAAAGCCTAGAGAAAGGCTGCACAACTGCTTGACACTTGTCACAACAGAAATAAAAGAGAAGGAGAGAAGAAGGGGAGAAAAAAAAGGGAGAATGAGACAAAAGGGGAGAAATGAGTGGAGAGGAATGTGCCGACCTGTTCGGACTGCTGCAGTAAGGACTGGCAGGTCCCTATGATGACCTCATCCCTCCTAGATTCAAGGAGGGCAATCCGGATTGCCCACAAAATCTGAATTAAAGAGAAGAAAATGGAAGAAAATGCAGAAATGAGTTGGCCTTTTTTTTTGTGAGCCATAGATCTGAGATCAGATCTCATGGTGGAGGGGAACTAGCCGTTTTTTGTGGGGCAGCATGAAACGGCTAGCTCCGGAATGAGGTGGCAGCCCAAAAAGGAAAGAAACAAAAGAGGGAAAAAAACAAATCTGTGTATTTGACCCTAGAAGAGAGCCAGATGCATCAAAAATTGAGAAAATGGACTTGGGGGTAGCTCGAAATATTGTAGACCATGGATCTCAGCCGGATCCAAGGCTGAAAATGTACCGCCACATGGGAAAATAGGTCGGCCTACTCAAAAGAGGCCTAGATCAGAAAAGGGCAAGAAAAAGACCTCTAGGCCTTCAATTTTCAAGAAAAACTGCACCTTGGGCTTGGGGGCCCCATGAGACAACATTTTTGAAGATGAGAAGAGGTCAAGGGAGGCCAAGGGGTAGTCCGAGTTGGTACCAACCACTCGGACTGCATGTACCTGGCCAAAATGAGGCCCAGGTACCTCCGGAAGGGCCTAGTGGTGAAAAAGTTGCCTTGGGGGTACCTCGGTCCACCTTGAGGCACATGGGAAGGCCTACGGGCTGGGCGGTGCACCTGTTTCAGCCTACAAAAGCTGGAGGTTCAGTCCGTCACTCTCACACTTGCATGAGGAGAGCCCATGCTGCCCAAATGAGCACATGAGAGAGCTCTACTCACTTAGAAGTGAGAGGAGGGGAACCGTTGCCTGTCTAGAGCCTGGATATGGTGATAGGCTAGAGGAGGAAGCTCGAGAGGTTGGATAGTAGTGAGGAAGGTAGTCCGCCATAGCCCCAGATTGTGGGAGAGAGGGAGAGGCTGGAAGGAGTCCCCATTAGCCCTTCTAGAGGGGAGGACTCCTTAGCCAAGGTGAGAAGAGCCCAGCATAGCCTGGAGGAAAGTGAAAAGAAAGGGGGAGAGGAGCTTGGGGAATGTGGAAGCCATAGCCAGGGAGGGAGCACCAGGATTGAGACTCCATCACCAAGGGCACAAGTAGGGGTGAGTGGAGGAAATAAGGTTTTTTTTTTTTTTTTTTTTTTTTTTTTTTTTTTTTTTTTTTTTTTTTTTTTTTTTTTTTTTTTTTTTTTTTTTTTTTT